CACCAAGATCATCACCTGGCTCATCAAGATGGCCCCCATCGGTGTCTTCTTCCTGATCCTGCCCAACCTGATGAAGCTCGATATCGGCGAGATTGGTCTGAACCTGGGTATCCTCATCGGCGGTACCCTCTCCACCATGCTCATCCACATCCTGGTTATCGTCCCCATCATCTTCTTCACCTTTACCAGGATGAACGCCTACTCGTACTGGATCAAGATCTCTCCTGCCTGGGTGACTGCCTGGGGTTCTGCTTCGTCTGCCGCCACTCTGCCTGTGACGCTGCGATGCGCCAAGGCACGAGGTATCCCTGCCACCATCTACAAGTTCTCCTGCCCCCTGGGTTGCCTGATCAACATGGACGGGTAAGTTGCAACGCACTCTGCATCTCATCTCACAAAACAGAAACTGACCTGGATGATAGTACCGCCATCTACCTCCCCGCAGCTGTCACATTCTTGGCTGCCACTCAGGGCATCACTCTGGGCCCTGTTGACTACATCATCGTGGCCCTGCTGTCGACCCTGGCTTCGATCGGTGTCAGCCCCATCCCTTCGGCCTCGCTGGTCCTTTCCATCATGATTGCCCGCTCGGTCAACGTCGAGCTGACTGGCATGTACGCCGTCATCGTGGCCATCGATTGGTTCCTCGACCGCTTCCGTACCGCCGTCAACGTCTCTGGTGATCTTTTCGCCGGTATGATCGTCTACAAGATGACTGGAATCGAGGACCCCCCTGAGGTGGTTGACGAGGTGTCCCGTGAGGAGGACATCAACGAGAAGGACGCCTCCAACAGGGTCTAAGATGTAAATGACTTGAATTGTGTATATCCACGTATGGGGAGTGTAATGCCCGGCGTTGAAGCGTAATCGTTTTTCGTATTACCAACCAGAGTAGTTGGAACTGAATGACAAGACAAACCCATTGATTGATGATGAACGAATGGCTTGCTTGAAGTGACGATCAAGGGCGAAATGTGACAAGTGAGATGTACAATAGAATCATCAGAAGCCAAGAAAACGAGTCGGTGTTCTAAGGCTTGGCTTTTGATCAAGAGTTGGTCGCCATGATCCCTGCTCGGAGCTGGGCGAAGCTTGGCTGAATCGACCCCGGATGCCAAGTATGCAAAGTACCGACATGGTTGCACTCGTTGTGACGTGACATGACGCTTCCAAGAGATAAGAAGGCGTTGGAAGGATCAAGTCGGCAGTTCCTCTTGGATGGTGTTTGGGGGACAGAAAATCGAGGGCCAAGGCTGCTTCTTATCTTGCCCAGACTTATGGATCCTTGTCATGGGGGCTCGGCATGCTCGGATAGTGTGTGTACGCAGGCCATATTTTCTGGGTCAGTTTTATCAGTTGCGCGGCCTTATTTACCCCGACTTTCTTGTCTCTGATAAGCTTGGAGGCAACACACCTTATTTTCTATTGACCTGCCTTATTAGGATACGCCGATGCACTCTGGTGTGGTTTCTAAGAACTTGCAACTGTGGCTGGCTAAACGAATGCACGGATTCAAGGTACATGTCGAATATTGGCGAGATGACGGCCAAGAGTCACATCTTGGAGGTGATGTTCACAAGTCAAGACAGAGAGATAAGGATGTTGAAGCTGCATGGTTTCATGCAAGTCACCCATTGATTGATTCAAGTATATGGTGAAGTGAAGGACATTTGAAGACCCAGATCCGAGAACGAGAGACCAAAAGGAAAAGACCCAGGAGTAAGAAAAAAGAAAATGCAGTAAATGACCCCGTTGCGCCCGTCTATGACCCTGTTATGCATGCTTGCTTGCTGTTGTATGCCCGTGCCCCTCCACCTTTATCTCATATGCCGTCTGCCTCAGATCTTGATCTTCCTCTGGAGGTAGTTGTTGTTGTTGGCGATCAAGTTCTTCGTGCCTCGGAGGTTGCCAGTGATCTTGCCAGACGTGGCAACCTTCTTGAGCCAATTTGAAGTCTCGTCGACGCCAAAGATGCCCTCGATGGACTGGGCGTAGAGGACGAGGCCAGCAACGTGAGGAGCAGCCATCGAGGTGCCGTCCTCGACGGCAGTGCCGGTGTCGGACTTCCACGAGCAGGAGGTGACGCCAACACCGGGGGCAAGGATGTCGACAAAGCTGCCCCAGTTGGAGAAACTGGCAACCTTCCAGTTGCTGTCAATGGCGCCGACCGTGATGGCGCCATCGACGGAGCCGGGAGACGTCTTGGCCGTGTCCATGCCCGCGTTTCCGGAGGCGACGGTGGTGATGACTCCGGCCTTGACAGCGTTCTCGACGACCTTGTTGAGAGCGGCCGAGGGGGCGTCGATGCCCAGGGACAGGTTGATGACGGCGAATTCCTGTAGGCCCTTGGAGACGACGTCGTTGACGGCCCAGTTGATGCCAGCGAGGATGACGGACAGCTCAGCAGACTCGCCCTGGAAGACCTTGACAGCTAGGACCTGAGCCTTCTTGGCGACACCGTAGGTCTTGCCGGCGATGGTTCCAGCGACGTGAGTGCCGTGGCCCAGGCGATCAGTGTGGTCCTTCTTGAAAGCAGTCCAGACCTGCTTGACACGGCCGCCAAAGTCCTTGTGAGTGGCGCGGACACCGCTGTCAACGACGTAGGCATAAGACTCAATACCAGCGTCAGAGTCGTAGAGGTAGTTCTTGGAGCCCTTGGCGCGGTGCGAGATGGTTCCAAGACCCCAGGTAGCGGACTGCTGGTTTGTCTCGGCTCGCTTGGAGAGGTGGACGTCCTCGGTGGGTTCATCCTCACCCTCATGACCCTCAACATGGTCTCGCTCTCCAAATTGGTTGTTCTCGCTAGGCTCTCCAACCTGGGGGTTCCATGTGAGCTTCACGAGACGATCAGGCTCAACAGCGATGACCTAGCATGCGTGTCAGTCACTGTCTCAGAACTAGGACACTGTCGCACTCACGTCGGGGCTCTTCTTAATCTGCTTGATGGTGGAGGCATCAAAGGTACCAGAGTAGGCATGGAAGCCAGCCTCATTGTCATACGTCTTCTCGATGCCGTTGTCGCTGTCGCGCTTGGTGAGACTGCGCTTGTGGACGTCCTTAACCCACTTGATGTGGGCCTTGACCTTGGCTTCCTTGATCTCGGGCTTCAGGGTGATGATGTAACTGCCGGGAATGATATCGCTGGGGCCAGTGGAAGAAGAGGAAGAAGCTGGAGCTGCTGTCACGCAGCCAAGGAGTGTGGTCGCCACGATGGCGAAGTTCTTGAAGTTGACCATAATGAATGGTAAGGATTGAAGAGAAGGAAATGGAAGGAAGGAAGGAAGGAAAGAGAGGGAATGAAGGTGTGGGTGAGTTGGATAGAGAGAGTCTCAGTTGGGAAGCATCGTCGAGGAGTTATATACAGGTTGAGACATAGCTATTAGAGCTATCACAGCTATCAGAGACACCGTCTGCGCTCAACCCAGGTTCTCGGGCGAGACCCTGAAGAGGCGTCATCGGCCATGCCTCTTTGGAAGACAAGAAAACGCCCGTCGAAGGCCCAAATACCGGACAAGGCTCGCCACCACCGACGGAGGATTTACAGGCGGGAAGGGCAGAGACACAAGGTGTCTGAGAAATGGAGGCGCCCACGCGGGGCCCGAGACTGTATCGGACATGTACGCAAGCTCGACGGGAAATTCCTCTCCAATGGGGCAGGGTACGGCTCGGAGGGTTGTCTGGTGCATTCCTCGGGTTACGTAGCAAACGTGTTGATCCGGCTTCGTGGGATCGTGGCCGCGCTATTGATCGGTATGGTGTACGCCATCATGATGCCCTCCCACGAAGCTGTCAGGGTCTGGGAATACTCCGTCCTAGAAATGAACCAGTAGGAGATTTTGAGTGACCGGAAATGGAAAAGAAGCAATGTCAGGGTTCTGGTTAGAGTTGGGCTCGTTTCTTCTGTGTCTAGTCTAGACGCCCCATTAACATTCCTGTCTCAGGTCCACATGTCTGCCATAGAAACCCGCACGCAGGAACCCGCGAGCATGGGTCAACAGCCAAGCCCATTCTCGTCGTCTGGGGGAAAGGGAATATGGACCTGTGCCCAGGGGCCTAGGGTCAAGCCATCGGACGACCCCCCGAGGTCTATGGCTGGCTAGACAATGCCAGAGTGCCAGCTGTTACGGGCGTTGGACAGCGACCGGGCTGATTACTGATTGAACTTTATGCTTGATCTGAATAACTCTAAGTCATCCCATCTACCCCCCATGTCATGGGGTTCGATTATGGCCAAGATTGTCTGGATGATCTGGAACGAACATCGGGATTTGCAACTCCACTTCCAAGACTGCATCAAGAGTGTCGATCTTTCGCCAAAAACCCTATGTCTACCCTGGATCCTGATGTCACATTAGTCGGTAGTCGGCCGGCAATTGCGGTCATGGAAAATGAAAGTGATTGCTCATCTCTCGGCCGAATATACGGCGTCTTCTGCCCCAGCGGAGTCCAACGTGACACTGCCATGAAAGAGTTGAATTAATGCCGAGCACTTCGAACTATAGTATCCAAGTTTCAATTGATGCCAATGTATTACCAATTGGTTGTCTCTATACGGCTAGACACCCCTGTGTAAACAATACTATCAAGCCGTCTCCGTACATGTCAAGGGCTCGCGTCGATAGAAATTCATGCACCGACACCCGGAACAATCCAACTTGTAAGCCAATGGGAAAGCTCACGTAGTCGAGTCACGCCTATTCCGCGGCCAAGCACAATATGCCAAGCTCTCGAGTCATGCTATTCATCGAAATACGCGGCAAGCATTACAGTCCATAGCCAAGGATCTCACCAATGGTCTTGGCTCTGTACACCAATCACAATCGGGTCAGGCTTGCTTAATGGAACTCTAGTATTGTCTGTGGCGCTACTATCGAGATAGAGAGGCTGCCCAAATTCAAACTCACTCATTGAGGAGAAAGACCAACATTGGTGAACCATCTGTGCCGACGCTGTTCGGAAAGACTCCCAAGAAAACAAGATATGTATCGTCAAGGAATCTCCTAGCCTCTATCGACGCCGACATACCCATATCGCGCAAGGAATGCGGCAGCGAGAACGTCAATGGCCGAGTCCTTGATTGGTTTCTGGACGAGGTTGTCCCAAGACTGGATGATATTCCGAGGAATAGGGCCCTGACAGATCATGTACAGCTCGCTCAGAATGGCAACCGCGTCGCGTGTATCGGCCTCTCTCCTGTCCTCCATCATCTTCAACTTTTGGGCCAGAGCCCAATGCCACTCCACAGCGTAGACAGTCAGATTGGCTCCCCGCCAGAGAGCAATGTCCTGCGAGATGGAATCACGAACAAGACGCTGCTTTTCGTTGTCACCCCCTTGTATAAATGACTCTATGTTCCTCATCCAGCCTCGAGAGATGTTGTGACTCCGTGCGACATGTGCCATGGCTCTGTAGAGCTCCCTCCTGAACTTCGCGGGGTCGGGGGAATCGGGGTTGAAGATGAAGTCGATCTGGGTGGTCGTCTCGCGAGTGCCTAACATGTCGACGGCCACGAATCCACCCGAGGACACCAGTTTGAGAGGTGTGATTGCCTTGAGATCCTCTGATTTGGCGATCTCGGCATCCAAAGCTTGGAGAGCTAGCAAACTTGACGTCAGGTACAGAGCAGTGATAGCACTGATCAACTCACCATCGTGAAAATCCTAGTAACTGAACTCGATCTTGGGTGGAGCCATGGTTGGTGATGTTCGGTGTGGTTTTGATGATGCTCGTTCCGGAATTGATGATGTTTATCTTGAGTTTCAAGGAAGAGAACCAAGGTCTCAAGACGTACCTATCAATATTAGTATCATGTCGCCCGTCCTTTCCAGATATTGCCAGGCCCTCATCTACCGAATTCATGCAGGTCTGACGCACCCATCCCCCTTTTGAAAACAGAAGGCGTAAGGTAGTTAGGAAGGAGGCGATGATATGAGCAAGAGTCTTTTGAGGAGCCGAGGCAAATGAGAGCCATGGTATCTTAGTAGTGTTAGGTGCAATCCCAGTTTCTCTTCCTCAGGTACTTGTCAAAGATGTGTGCCCCGATCTAGATCACGTGTAACCACAAAACTTCATCCTCACAACCTCACATCTACCTATCTGGGTGCCTGTGCATGCAAACTTGGGACCAGAGAATACAGGAGTTATCAAGAACCGCCTTACCAATGTTCAGCCAGAGCCTTGCCCGTTGAAAAGACTGCTACCTCCGAAACCATTGAGGAAGTAACCGTTATGTCGCCCAGGGCAACATGGTGCAATACTGCTTCATGCCGGAGCCAGAGCAAGAAGACTATAAGTATTCTGATGACTTCATACCGAGCTTGCGGAGTTTTAATCACAACCATAGCTCTATTCTGTATCTTTGATGTACTACCATGTTGTAAGCCCAGCACCTACTCTGGTCTCCCAGGTTTATAGGCCTTCAACTTCTCTGAAATCCAATCAATCCTGTCGCTGCCAACTTTTGACCATTGGCCCAACCAACGGACGGAGTCCCAGCAGTCAGGGGTGACAATAACATTGCCAGTTTCAAGAAGAGCCTCAATGACACCATGGCTCGCCCCCATAATTGCCTTGGACAAAATCGTTTTACCTGCATAATCGATCGCATTCACGTCCACCTTGCGTGTGGCCAGCATATTTCGCACTGCCTTCTCCATACCATTCTTGGCGGCAAGCGCAAGTGGTGTCTCCCCCATCCCATCAACGGGATCGACATCGGCTTTGCCCGTCGCAAGCAGCTGCTGCACAACCCCTTCATAGAGCTTCTCAGCCGCGCCCCTATCATCCTCCACGTCGATTCCCATCCTACTTTTAGGAAACCACCCCCTCGCGAACTGTTCCTGGCGCCCCTTAGCCGCAAGATGTAATGGTGTCCTCCCCCCGTAATCCCTGGAATTAACATTAGCTTTGCCCGTCGCAAGAAGCTGCTGCAAAACCCCTTCATGTCCTTTCTCAGCCGCATACTGTAGTGGTGTCCTCCCCCAGTGATCCCCAGAATTGACATCGGCTTTTCCCGTCGCAAGTAGCTGCTGCACAACCCCCTCATGCCCCCCCTTAGCCGCATGAGATAGCGGTGTCTGCCCCATACCATCCATAGAGTTGATGTTAGCCTTGCCGGTGGCAAGCAGGTCTCGTACAATGCTTTCATGGCCATGTTCGGCGGCATAGGACAGCGGCGTTCGCTTTTGAGAGTCCCTGCGATCGACTGCTACTTGACCGGTGGCAAGCAGCTCTCGTAAAATACTTTCATAGCCATGTTCGGCGGCATAGGACAGTGGCGTTCGCTTTTGAGAGTCCCTGCGGTCGACTGCTACTTGACCGGTGGCAAGCAGTGCTGTCACAATACCCTTATTGTCGTCCATGACTGCCCCATGCAACATCTCCTCTGCAACAGTCACACGGCGAGTCGCTAAAAGCTTTTCAACCATGTACGTTTCACCGAGACACACCGCCCATCCCAGGGGTGTAGTATGGCCCTTGTGCCTAACACAATTCCTCCGGAAAGGCTCGAATCTCATGTTCTTGTTCTTGGAGTCAGGATCAACATAGTGCTTCCTAAAAATGCGCTTCAGGGCATGTTCTGCCTTCTGATAACGTTCTTCTGCTTCAAAAAACGTGTCAAAAACCGCCTTGTGACCACCCCTCACAGCCCATGATAAGGGAGGAAGTTTCAAGATAGGGTCCCTTTGATTCGCATCTGTAGACTTCAGTTTGAGCAGGTGTCGAGTCACAGCTTCAAGCCCCAGGGTTGATGCGGTAACAAGAGCAGTCAGGTCTTTGGCACGCACGTAACGCGCTGAGCCCATCCTTATTGGCACCTGAACAAGACATGCTGACTCGCTCCCACTGCATAGATGTAACATGTCGCTCAATGGGAGGTCTTTGGTACTGGTCGCGTCGCGAAGGTGAGCGGCCCAGTGCTCTACAGAGTATGAAAGAAGTGGGTACTTTTGATCCAAAAGTTCGAGTGACTTGAGTGTTACCTGGTCATCGACGCCGAAATACTCTTCAAAACTATCGTAGTCATTTTCAATAGCCTCGATGTGCTTTCCAAAATCATCGACAACATCAGTAAGCAGAAGGATCTGTGCACATACCGATCCAAGTTTGAGGTTTGAGGATCCAGGAGAAAATGAATGTTTCCATTCATAACAGATGTTGTCTCCTTTCAAGTGATCGTCCCGAGATTCTCTTTTCTTGACTCTCTCTACTAAGAATTCGGCGGCTGTCTGATGGAGGAGGTAGATTCTGTCGTCAACGATGGATACGAAAAGACCACAGAGTTCTCGAGCCCAGACACGAAGCCGCTCTTCCGGTTCGATCTTCAGTTGGCTGTACGAGGTATGATTCCTCTCGATGGTCATTGCCGCGGCCATCTCCTTCAACTTCAGTGGCCTTTTTGCCGCCAGAACCATGTGCAGTAACTTCCTTGCCCTGTGCTTGTCTAGGCTTCTGGAGAGAATCTTTTCGTATGCGTCATCGACCGTCGGGGGGACGTTCCTGATGTGCTCCTCGATTTGCGTGGAAGAGTGGCCGACACAATTTTCAAGCTCTCCAAAAACCAAATAGACCCAGAGATAGGTGCGGTTGGTGTGTTGAGTCATTTTCATCTTCATGACTTCCTCTGCATCCTTTGCAAGGCGCAGTTTCTCACACAGTTGAGTTATGCGAGCCTCGACAACTAAGTCAATCTCCCTTGCAATCTTCTCCGACTCAGACTGGGCCTCTCCCTGTAGACGAATCACTGGGAGCTTTGTCTGTATGTCATGAAATCCTCGCTCAATGCTGACATAAGGACGACTTGTCACCAGGAACTTGAGGTTCGTATTGGTACCCTTTGTGAGACAGAAGTCTTCGAGTGTCTCGACCATCAAGTGTCTGTCTTGCTCTTCACACTCGTCGAGCGCGTCTAAGATACAGACGATTTGACCGCTGCCGTGATGTGTTGAAACTGAGACTAAGATACGCCAAAGCTCCCGAAAAGAGCTGAGAAGTTTATCGCCGTCTTCGTCATACTGGTCGAGGATAGAGTCTTGTAAGAGGACTGGCTTCTCTTTGAAGAGCTGCCGTAAAACACAGCACAGAGCCCCTGCCGCGCTCTTTTGGTCTTGGAAGTCGTCTTTGAAAAAGAAGTAACATGTTGTCGAAGTAGATGAACTCTGTAGAACTTCATCCACGAGGTATCTTGACAGGACAGACTTGCCACATCCTGGGTCTGCAGAAACCCAGAGGAGGCCGCAGGTTTTCCCATTCTTCCAGTCTTGAAATCGATCATGACCTGTAAACCATTCGCAGGTGCCTTGAACCCGTCGAGGGTTTCTGTCTTTGGCATCACTGTAAATAGATTTGTACAGATTCCTCAGAAGCTCTCTGGTCTGCTTGGCTCGCTCCGCTTTCGTCTTCTTCTTGCGGTTTTGTTCGAGTTCATTTTGATCTGATCATCTGGTTAGTGAGATCTCTACAGTTTCATGAACGACATCGATGATTCTGAATTCCCTAAGGCGATTATCTGACTACATTTGAACGATATCCATCGGAGCACAAGGTCAAAGGAACTCAGACATTATGATGTGGGCTAATTCTCCCTGAGTCCAATGAAGCGTTTTTCCAGTGCTCCATCCACGGGATCTTCTTTGGGAACTGCGACCAACTCACCATTTGCAATGGCACTATCGTACAGGTCTTGAATGTTGGCCTGGACAAGTTTGAAGTTGTCCCTGTCCTGTTGGCTTGCTCCAAACTTGCAGACGCCTCCATGACTCGCCTGGAGCGAGACCACATTCTCATGCTTTCCTGGGAGGCCGAAGGACGTACTCTCCCTCGGGACGACCTGTGTCGGGGTCAGTGAAGCCTCAGGTAAGCTAGGCAAACATTTACGCACGGTGTCTAATGCGCCCCAAAATGAAACGATGGGATACTCCAACAGGCGCTGCTTCCAATGCTCATGCATCAAGTCGCTGAACATGCTCCCCTCCTTGAGCGTCTCTAGGATGTTGTCGCCTTTCTGGAAGCCCAAGTTCATAGCAATCTTAGCCGCTACCTGGCCAATGTTGACAAGAGACTGCTTTCCGCCATCGTGGGGAGTAGCAAAGAATGCGAGGCCTTGTGTGGCAAGCTTGATGTCCTGATACTTTTCATTGTTATGGGCGTTGATGAGGGCCTGCTTGATCAAGAGACCTCCAAGGCTGTGGCCCAGAAGCAACAACGGTCGTCGGGGCGCCTTTCTCCTGTCGATCCTCATGGCCTCGAGGAATGCATTCACCTTGTCGATAAAGGTGGTGCGGTCCTTTCCATACACTGCCGTCGAGTTGTACTCGTACAGGAAGATGCGGGCGTGAGGCAGCTCCTTGGGGAGCTCGTCACGCAGCCATAGCTTGCCTTCGGGACCAGCCGGAGTTCGCCATGTGTCCCAGGCATGCTCTTGGTCGGGTTTGTTTCGGGGGTTCAGTCCATGGACCGCGACGATGCTGGGGCAGGTTAGAAATGGATATCGGGAGGCAGACTCTCAACACATACTCAACGATCGCCTCATCCTCCCCTGTCTCTTCCGGGTCTGGGTAAAGTTGTCTCAAGGGCTACAGTTTCAGGTCAGCAAACTATTCCAAATGATTCATGGGCATTTGTTTCCGTATGGGCGTTTTATACACCGTT